AGCATCACTCTGAGTTACCTAAAATAATAAAAGAGAGACTAGTCATTGGGCAATATAGTTTATTTGTTATTATTTCGACACGGCTTAAGTTGATTGACAGAAACACATACATACACACACACACACACACACTCAGTCACTATTACATACACACACTCACTATAATACGCACTCACACATGCACACACACAAACACACACACTCACTATAACACGCACTCACACATACACACACACACACACACACATGCACACACACACACACACACTCACTATAACACACACACGCCTCCCTCCTGCTGGAGCTTCACAAACACATGAACAAACAAAAACTGCTCCTTTTCCATTGAATGAAATCATTAGGTTTATAAACCAGACTTGAACTGGTCTGGGTTCTTCTTCTGTGGTGGTGATTACGTCACACTCGTTGTTCTTTGGCTGCTTGTGCAGGAAAGTGGTGCGCAGGGCGAGTGTGTCCGACAGACACAATCTCTGCAGGAAGGAGTATCAGACCGAAGCCATCGTGTGGAGAGGAGGACGAGAGGAAGAGGAGCGAGAGCGGGAGTCTGATCAGGAAAACAGCCTCTCGGTGAGTAAAACCCTCACTGCTCTCAGAAACCAAACGCAGAGCTCATTCACGGAGTCCACAGGATACTAGATCTCATTCACATTAGACATGCACTTTCGTTCACTACTATTATTATTTTTTTTTTAATTTTATTTCAATTTAAGATATTACCAATATTAATAATATTTATTATTATTATTAGCAACAGTAATATATTTTTTTTCTCTTTTCTCTTTTTTTTCTCTTTCTCCTTTATTTATTTATTTGTTTTTACATTTGTCTTAAAACATGCAACATTAAAAACTATTATTATTAATTACTATTAAATATTAAAACATTATTTTAACTTTTAAATACTAGCATTTTAGCAAAAGTAATGTTTTTTTTTTATTTGTTTTTAAAAACTTTTTTTTTATTTGACTTTTGCACAACATATTATTTCGGCCTATTAAACCCCTGTATTCTTTCAATCACAAGTATTTTTAAACCCAGTCAACTACAATTTTATATTTTTGTCATAATTCTATTATTATCTATATATATATATATATTTTTTAAATATAAGCATATCAGCAACAACTCTTTTTTTCAGTTCTGTAACTTTTTTCACACAAAAAATTCAGCCCATTAACCTTTATTTTTTATTCATATTTTTACAACCTGAATTTTATATTACTGTCGCATAATACTAATTATTATTATATATATATATATATATATATATATATTAGGGCTGGGTTTTGACACAA